AGCTTGATTTCCAGGAGTTGTGAAGAACTTAAATTCCCACAGTTCAGTTCTTTGCTTCAGCAGTTGCTGCAGTAGTGCCAAGGTGTCTTTTCAAAATCATTCCCTTTTACTTTTCTTGTTGATAAGATTTATAAACAGAGAGATGGTCACTAAAATCACTTACTTGTTAGCCAGTTTCTAAAATTCTTTCAGTAAATTTCTTCCCCAATCAAGGACTATTTTCTCTCAGCTGAAACGTGCCATTAGTTATCCTTCTCAAAGCAATGGGGAAAGATTATATTTTGTTAAGATGTTGAGTTGTCAAATTTTTATATAGATTAAATGCAATCCAATAAAAATTCCAGAATTTTTTTAATAGAAGTTGACCAACTGATTCTAAAATTCATATCAAAATTCAGGGAACCTAGCTAAAATAGCCAAAACAACTCTGAAAAAGAACAAACTTGTAGGACTAAAAGTATTTGATTTCAAGAGTTATTTTAAGCTACAATAATTAAAGTATGGTATTAGTGTAAAAATAGATAAGCATGTTAATGGAACAGAATGGAGAGTCCAGAATTAAACTGACATACACTTGGTGTTAATTTTTAACGAATATGTAAAGGCAGGTTATTGAAGAAGGCAGCATTTCAACAGATGGTGATGGAATTATTCAAATGTTAAAAAAATAAACTTTAATCCATACCTTGAACATTATACAAAATTAAAATATAAATATAAATGTAAATCCTAAGACTACAAGAATTCTAGAAAAAGAATATAGGAAAAAGTTTCTGTGACCTCAGGTTAGGCAAAGATTTCTTAAATGCAATACAAAAAGTATGATACATAAAAAAGCAAATTATTAAAAACACCAAAATTAAAAAATTTTCTTCAAAAGATACTGCTAAGTTCATGAAAAGGCATGCCATAGACTGGGAGAAAATGTTTGCAAATTATACATCTGATAAAGGACTCATCTCTGAAATATATAAAGAACTCTCAAAACTCAATAATAAAAGATCCAACTTAAAAAGATGGACAAAGATTTGATCAGATATTTCAAAAAAAGGTATACAGGTGACAAGTATACAAAGCAATGCACAGCATCATTAGTCATTAAGAAAATGCAAATTAAAACGACAATCAGATACTACTATTCACCTATTAGAATGGCTAAAACTAGAAAGGCTGACTATACCAAGCAAGCAAAAATGTGGAGGATTTGAGGAAAAGTTTATATATATATAAATAAAACCGAAGAAGATTCCACATACATATGAGTCCATAAAAAAAGAAAAGCAAATCATACAATGTAACAAAATACAAAAAGTACAATCCAAGAAAACTCCTACAATAAAAAGAGTGCATATTAAAATTATATATTGAGAAGGCACACTATATATCTGAAAAGTAAACCCAGATCGGCTAATATCAAGACATATTTTACTATGCCTATTGGGCAATAAGAAAAAAAAATCTTTTGGACATCTAGTCAAAACAATAACAAAAACACCAAGTCACTTCTAAATGAAACAACATGAGATTGTCATCAAATTTTTTGATAGCAATAGTTTATGCAGAAGACAATAGCATATTTAAAACATGCAAAGAAAAAATGCAAGCTAAATATTTTATATCCAGCCAAACTAAACTTCAATTATAAACATAATCAAACTGTTAATCCTGGAACTCAACAAAACAAACAACTAACCCAATTTAAAAATGGTCACAGTGGTGATGGAAGGAGACTTGGCTTGGGATGGTGAACACACAATACAATACACAGTTGATATCCTATATAATAAGAGAGGAATATGCTAATTAGCTGTTACACCCTGAGGCATAATGACCAAGTGCCTCACGACCAGATCTCGGATCAGCAGGAGGGTGGGCCAGCAAGATGCGAGCGGGCTGCAGAGAGCTACAGGATGGGGCAAGGCAGAAAGCTATGATGGGGGAGAGGGGGAACTACATGAGGGCGGGGCAGTGGGCGGAGAGCTACAGGAGGGTGGCAGCGACCTACTGGTGCACAGATTCATGCACAGGGCTACTAGTATTATAGAATTAGACACCTGAAACATATAATTCTATTAACCAATGTCACCTCAATAAATTCAATAAAAAATGGGTGCCAGACTTGAATGGGTATTTCTCCAATGAAGATAAATAAATGGCAAATAAGCACATGAAAAGATACCCAACATCATTAATCATTAGGGAAATAGAAATCAAAACCATAATTAGGTATCACCTCACACCCATTAAGATGGCTATTATCAACGCAAAGCAATGGATAAAGAATGTTGGTGAGAATGTGGAGAAATTGGAACCCTTATACATTGCTGGTGGGAATGTAAAATTGTGCAGCTGCTGTGGAAAATAACACAGCAGTTCCTAAAAAAAAATAAAATAAAAGTTAAGCACAGAATTACCATATGATCCAGCAGTTCCACCTCTGGGCATATACCCAAAAGAAAGGAAAGCATTATTCACAATAGCCCAAAGGTGGAAAAACAACTCAAATGCCCATTCATGGATGACTGGATAAGCAAAATGTAGTATATACATACAATGGAATATTCATCTTAAAAAAGGAAGGAAATTCTGATAAAGCATACAACATGGATGAACCTTGATGATATTATGATAAACTATACACAAAAGGACAAATGTCATGTGATCCTACTTGTATGAGGTATCTAGAGTAGTCAAATTCACAGATACAAAAAGTAGAGTGGTAGTTACCACTGGCTGAGAGGAGAGGGAAATAAGGAATTAGTGTTTAATGGGTACAGAGTTTCAGTTGAGGGAGATGATAAAGTTCTGGAGATAGATGGTGGTGGTGATTGCACAACAATGCAAATGTACCTAATGCTTTAAAATGGTTCAAATGTTAAATTATGTTATGTATATTTTACCACAATTTTTAAAAAACCTATTAAAATTATGCCAGAACCTAAGAACCTAATTAGGGAATATTGTTCCCATGAGATCTTCCCTAGAAAGGGATTCAGATGAGCAAACAAGGGTACAATAGAGTTTAACAACCAGTACCATGTAATAACTCCATTTGATACTTGTTTGCTTGGGAGCACTTGTGGATATCCAAGTGAAGCTGTTCAGTAGATAACGCAAGTCTGGAATTTAGGGGCAGGGGCGGGGGGGGGGGGTGGAATCGGGGTTAAAGATAGAGATTTGGAAGTGTCAGCTCAGAGTAGATAGATGAAACCATGGACAGAGATGAGCTCACGAAGGAAACTTAAGATGTAGATTGGGGAAAAGGCCAAGGAAGTAAGCAGAGGGGAAACACACAACTCCTTGGACAGGTAGAAGAGCAGGTCAGTATAAAGAGTATTAAGATGTGGTCAGAATTAGGAGAATATGACCTTAAAAGGATGGCGTCACAGGAGCCAACATCAAAGAGTGGTTCATGTGTGAGGGAGCAGCCACTTGAACTTATCACACATTTTTAGATAATTAGATTTTCCTACCAGACCTGAGCTCTGGGAGGGCATTGGTACTTCTTACCATCATAGTCCCAGCGCCAGGTACACAGCAGATACTTAATAAGTACTTTGTTAAATAAATAAAAATTTCAGCCATTGTTTCTTTAAATATTTCATTCTCAACTTGCCTCTCCTCGCCTTCTGGAATTCCAATTACACATGTTAAGCTGCTATTGTCCCATAGCTCACTATTCATTTTGGTATTGCAGTCTTAAGATTCACTAATCTTTTCTTCTTGCCATGTCTAATCTGCTATTAATCTCAGCCTCATTCAGTTCACTTTTCCACTGTAGAGGTTTGACTTGAGTCTTTTTAGATCTCTTCCACTTCTCTCCTTGTCACGCTCCTGCTTTCCTCTAACTCTTTGAACATATGGTATGTATTTGTAATAGTTGTTTTTTTTTAATGTCTTTGTTTACTAATTTCATCATCTATGTCATTTCTGAGTCTGTTTCTGTAGATTTTCTCCTCATTTTGGATCTTATGTTCCTGCTTCTTTGAATGTCTGGCAATTCATTTTTAAATTTTATTTTTCAATTACAGTCTGAGTTCAATATTATTTTGTATTAGTTACAGTGGTAACTTAATTTACTGTCAAACATTGTAAGTTTAACAGTTTGGGGGTACTGGATATGTTTGTAATGCTTTCAATATTTGGGAGTTTTGCAATAGGATGCAATTAAATTACTTGGGAACAGTTTGATGTTTTTTGAGGCTTGCTCTTAAACTTTTGGTGGGGGCAGAACAGCCTTTAATCTAGAGCTAATTTGACCCTGCTATTGAGGCAATACTCTTCTGAAGGCTCTCCACAGTTCCATATGTGTTAGGAAGTCTTTCTGCTCTGGCTAGTAAGCATATAAAAGATTCCCAGCCCTTTGTGTGCTCCAAGGATTGCTCCACCGAATCCTTTCCAGTGGCTTCTTCTGTCTTGATAGTCTCCTCAAACTCATGCACTGATTACTATTGAGCTCAAGAGTTAAGGGGACCCTGTGTGGATATTGGAGCCCTCTCATTGCAGCTTGCTTCTCTCCAGTGCTCTGCCCAAGAAGTCTAGCTGCCTAGGCATCTCTGTACTCTGAACTCTGTCTCAACTCAGGGGATCACCTGACTCTGCAGTGGCCTAGAAACTCACCAGAGAGTAAACTAGAGCATTCATCATGCTCATCATGTTGACCGCCCCCCCCCCCACAACCCCGTTTTCTACAGAGATTGCTATCCTGCACTGCCTGTTTTCCAATGTCTGAACATTAGTTTCACAGATTTTTGACCAGTTGTTGAGTTGTTTAAGGAGGAGGGTGGTAAATGTGGTCCCTGTTACTCCATCATGACCCGAAGTGGAAATTCAGTGCTTCAATTTGAGACTCTTAAATTTAATTACAAGGTATGCCCACAGAAATTCAGCTAATACCTGTGTTGGCTCATAGTGGGCATTTGAGCTTCCCCCATTGTCCCTATAGCTGCTATTCTTTCATCCCTATTAGCACATTTGCCTTTTGAAAAATGAAATGACATAGTCACTTTGGCAGCTTGTATACTAAGATTGGAACGATACAGAGAAGATTGGGATGGCCCCTGTGCAAGGGTGACATGCATATTCCTGAAACGTTCTACATTTTGTGCAGTTTCTCGCTGGGCTCCTCACACCCTTGATTAGCTGGGAAGAAATATGAGTCAAAGCACAATGCATGGAACGCAATAGCAAAATCATGACTTTTCATTATAAAAATATTCATGTAAGGCAATCTCTGAAATGAAAATGAAGCTGTTATAACTGGGGTATTGTGCTAATACATTAACTTGCATTTCCTTCTTAAGCCTTAAAAGTTCTGAAATTGACACTTTTTTTAAGGGAATGATGTGACAAGAGTGGGACTACATATATCAGCACTAAGAAGCAAAAATAACCTTTTTTTTTTTTTTTTACACTTTCTACAATTCAAATGTGGAATTAAATGGAAACACTTTGTGAAGTGAAAATGATTTGTTTAAGTACTCCCCAAATTAAAGTGGAATATGGTGTAGGGTAAGGGTGCCATCTGTTAAGCCACAGTGTCAGTGGCTTATTCCTACAGCTTGTAGAGGGAGCATTTCCCCACTTATTGCCCTAATTCTACATCTATTTCTCACTTTGGAAGAATGAGTCTGGAATGCTTACGTCCTGGAAGAAGTTGCATCACTTAAGCAACTTTGCTAACGGTCCCCAAATTCCTAGGGCTTCTTACTAGCACGATAGATAAGGCCTGGGATAATGGGGATATTTCTTTTCAGATTTGATGGAAAAGATCAATGGGTCTGCCTATTTGGACTCACCATCAAGACAAAGTGAAGACACAAAATCCGTTTTCTGCTTTTTCTGGGATATAATATGTTCATACTTGAACATTTTCTTCTAGATGAGATATTCTAGTCACAGTGTGTTTCTCATGTACACTGGCCTCCTGCCATCCATACATTTCCAGACTCCACCTTCTCCCTTCAGACAACTGAATGGGAAAGAAAGGGATCTCTAAGGTCCCTTTAAGGAAATGAATGTGGTTGTTTTAAACTTTACGGCATACACTGCCCCAACAGGAAAATAAAGCAGTGATCATTGTAAAACACGAGTTGGTAAAGTTAATTTATTAGACAGAAATTTAGTTTGATTTTATGGATGAAGAAGTGCTGACATTCTGACCACAGACCTTCTGGGGTGCAGAGGGGATGTGACATAGGGGTGGGAGGGCCGAGTGTAATTTATTTCTCCCTGCTTTTATTTGTACTAACGGTTTCAGGGCAGAATGTTTTAAGGTTGGCTGTAATTGCTAGGCCAAGAGATTGGAGTTGACAGAAGGTTGCAACATTCAGTGCGCAGGAAAAATGGGACAAATGAAAGTCAAAATAAGTTTCTCCTCCTGGAGCTCTGAGAACAGCTTGTTCACTAATTGCACGGATGAAGTCATTTTTGTTGTACGGATATTAAAGACTTGACACGAGAACCTTCCAGTTCCATCTTGCTCGGCTGTACGAGGGCTGGTGACAGGTATTTCAGAACTGCCTGTTCTGTCCCTAAAGGTTCTCTGTCTGCCGAATGCTCTCAGGCTGTCTGTATACATAAACTGAAGCAAAGCAGACCCTCTGTGTGGCAGGCGTGCTTCGGGTTGTAATTCTCCCCTGTGGATTTCATAGTCATCATTTAACTTTGGGGAAGGGCGGGGGGGAAGTGTAGCTCACTTCCACTTCCAAGACAGTGAATAAAAGTTTGCTTTTATTTATTTTTTTAAAAGAGATCACTTTTATTTAAAACAAACTTACTTGCTTCCAAATTAAAGAGCCTTGCAAAGACATAGTACTAGTAAAATACATAATGACTCAGATCCTTCCCGAAGTTTATCTTCATTGTACAATCAGTTCCATTGGCTGGGGAATGCTTGGGGCTCTTCCACATTCTGCCAAACACTGTCACACACCAAATCTGTAGAATCATAGGGGGTTGTTGATGTGAAGTAAGAAGGCTCTGCAACATTCAGGCAAATTAAGCTAACGGTCAAAAGTGACCATTTCCACTAGCCCATAAGAAAAAGGAAACCCTGCAGGTGAATACAGGAATGTCCTTGACAGCAAACTGATCCTTCAAGGACTCTGGGCTTTGAGAATTTGTGATTGTTAATCGATGTTCTAAAAGGAATATTGACTCCAAGTTCTTTTCAGGAGAGGAGTATTTTGCTATAACCTCTTCTTTACAAAGGCTGGGTCTATTTAAACCTCCCAGACGACCACTTGCCCTGATACGAAAGTGATTGGTATGAAACTTTTGGACTCCCATATTTCTTGTCTTTCAATTGCCCCAGATAATGAAGCCTTTAAAAATGTTCATTTAAATAATTCTATAATGTGCCAACTGCACAGCACAAACCTGCAGTTGCAGTAATCTCCATGGAAACATTGAAAGGCAGATAAACAATTCTGGACAGTAGACAAGTATGCATTAACCTGTTTATTACAGGTTTTGAGTTTATTCCTGATGCACATATTAGCAAATTCCCTACAAGGAAAAAGGTTTAAAAAATCAGAGGAGATAGAACAATTTTATTTTTGTGATAGAAAATAACAATGAACTTTTCATAGCAGTTCTGTCCAACAGAATGGTAATATAAGCTACATAAACTATTTTAAATTTCTAGGAGTCAAATTTGAAAAGTAAATTAAAATATTTTTTGTATTTTTAAAATATATTTTATTGATTTCAGAGAGGAAGGGAGCGGGAGAGAGATAGAAACATCAATGATGAGAGAGAAACATTGATCGGTTGCCTCTTGCATGCCCCACATTGGGGATCGAGCCCGCAACCCAGCATGTGCCCTGACCGGGAATCGAACCCCTGACCTCCTGGTTCATAGGTCGACGCTCAACCACTGAGCCACGCTGGCTGGATGAAAAGTAAATTTATTTTAATAACATTTAATTTACTTCAATAATCTAAAATATTGTCATTTTAATACATAATCAATAAAAATATTAATGAAGTATTTTACATTTTTTTCTTACTCAAGCTTTGAAATCTTGAATGTATTTTATACTCATGGCAAATCTAGATTTGAACTAGTGTCTACCATGGTCAACAGAGTAATTCTATACGGTATTACATAGTCACTGTATTAAAAAAAAAAAAAAAGAAGAAGAAGTACAGTCTCTTCAGTGGGGGATTCTTACAGTTTTCCCTTGGATAGTTTAGAAGCTACACTTGCTCCCCAGGACCTGACTGTTCCTTTCTGGAACAATTGTGCCCCAGGGGGCTCTGCATGCTGTAAGGAAGTAGGTCCACCGGACCCTGCTGCTATTTTGTTTCTTTATGTCTACCATGTATTAACATGGTGCCCCAAGCCAAAGATGAATCTTGACTTATTACTATAGTATTAATCTTATAGAACCCTTTGCTCTTGAGGCCTTCTGGAACAGCACCCTACCTACCACTAAAGACGATTGGAATCCAAGAGGAGTCCCATCCATACCCTTGGAATCACCTCAGCCCTGTTTCCCTTCAACTCCAAAATTTCAATATCTACTAAGATTTCAAAAATGCAGCTCAAAGCATGTCATCTCCCAGCTCAAAAACCCTCAATTCCTCCCCACCACCTAATAAACAAAGTACAGATTCTATAGCCCCATATTCAAGGCTCTGATGCCAATACAATGTTATAACATGATCTCCTCCTACTCTGCTACATGTACTCAGGCAAAATGTACTAACTGTCTCCCAAATACGCCCTGCCCATTGAAGCATCTGGTTTTTGTCTGTGGCATTCTTCTCTCTTCTTACTTCTCTAACTTCTCGCTGATTGAAATATAGTCCTATCCTTCAAGTCCCAGTCAAACTATTACCTCTTCCATGAAGTCCTTCAGGATTTTCCAGCAGAAATAATATTTTGGTCCTTGTACATACTTGATTTGTATTTCTGTTATGAGCCTTAATATGGTTTACATTGTTAGCTTGTTTGGGCGTATATGTGTGTCAATACCTTATCTCTGCTCAGATTATAAAAGTTCATTTCATTGATTCAACACTTGTTTATTGAGTACTTACTATGTGCTAGTGCAATATAAAAAATAATGAGCAAGCCAGACATAGAGTATCCATTTCAGAGGACTATTCTACAGCACCTAGCATCTGTCTTGCACTTTGTTAGCACTTGCTTACTTGTACAATCCAGGACTGAATTCCTAACTTATCTGAAAAAAATACTTCCAGAAAGTTTTGTTTTCAGACCCAAAGAGTAAGAATAGTAAGTCAATGAAAAAGTCTTCAGAGGAGCTGATCAGGGAGCTCACAACATATATGTATTTGTGCACACTTTAGCCATGGAGACCCTGGCAAGCCTCACACAGAGCCCTCTCTCTCAGTTCACACACATGTCTAACAATAATAAGCATGACAACAACCACAGTGAGCTCGGGGCATTTGATTTCCAAACTCATTTCAGATGAGAAGCAGAAAATTAGGAACAGCGAGTCGAAATGGCATAATCAGTCACACATGCAACCGTGAGACTGACCGTCCAGCAGCCAGGGAGGCCCTAGAGAGGCTAAACACACACACACACACACACACACACACACACACACACACACACAAAACACAGCAATCTGCAGCCATTTAGAATAAGGACAAACAGTTCTGCATGCCTCCATGGGGACGGAGGACTTCCAGTGTCATAGCATAATACTACTTTTAATGACAACCCCAGCCATCACACTGGATTAGGTTTACCCTCACTATTTTAAAAGGCAGGGATGATTAACATATTGGAAAGGTTTCCATCCAAGATAATTAAAACTCTTGGTGTTTAAAGGAATACACCATCAGCCATCTATTAAACTCACTTATCCAGAACGACTCTCTCCCTCGCAGACCCGCAGGCTCTGGGGCCAGAGTTGGATTGGACTTCCCTGCATTACTTGATTCATTTACCTCAGAACATTTGTTGGCTCTCAGCATCTAGTTCAGTTTTCATTCAGTAAATTTCATCTCCATTTTACTGTGTACAACACTCTAAAAGGGCCAATGGAGGACACAAAAGATTTGAAAAATCTAGACCCTAAGCTTGTCTTGGGGATACTCAAGGTCTAGTTGGGGAAAGATG